TAGGGGGAGTGCGTATACCATGGGATACCAGGAAACTGGCCCAAAGAAGGCTCCATCCAGGATCACCCATCACCCAGCGAAGTATTTCAGGAGCCCTGTCTTGTGTGGGATGACAATTAGCCAAAGGTACCAGACCCACGTTACACAAGCCAAGTGCCAGGGTTGCATGGGAATGTCATTGTTGTTCACTCACCCCCCTCCATCCTGGAATTGTTCAATTTTCTGCGTAGACTCGACGACCCTGTCTGCCTTGACCCCCTCCTCCCCCCGGGCTCTCCACGTTTCTTCGTCTTTTCCTGGATTCTTGGGTGCTCCCTCAAGGGAACGCGTGCACGCGCAGGGGTGCGCGCGAGGGTGGTGTGTGTGTGTGTGTGTGTGTGTGTGTGTGTGTGTGTTCCTTCAATCTTAGGGGACTGGGGGTGGAGAAAGGACTCAAGTGTGCATATGTGGTGTTGCGGGGGCGGGGGGTGAGGGGCGAGATGATGGAGGCAAGTGAGCGGGCCTTCAGGAAGTGGGGGTCTGTGTAATGAGGATAGGGGCCGCTCCTCCCCCAGGGGGTGTTTTAAGCAAAAGAGGGGGCGGATGGCAGGAGGGCAGCGCGCTTTCTCGGTGCGTGGGGAGAAAGGGAATCATGCTGGGGGGGGGGGGGGGGTCCCGGTGCGGGACTAGGAGGTTCAGGAGCGGTGGAGTCGAGGTGGTTTGGTGTGTGGAGGGACGGGTGAGTGTGTGGGGCGGGGGCGGGGGCGGAGATTCGGCGCGTGTATGTAAAGGTGCAGCCCGTGTGCGAGGCGCCGGGAGCGCGCTCGGTGTCTGGCCGGGTGCGCGCGCGCGCGCCGCGGTCCGCCTGCTCGCCTGCTCGCACTGCTCGGCGGTTTCGGAGCGGCGAGCGGGGCGCGGAGAAGCTGGAGCCCGGCTCTGGTAAAGACGATCGCGGAGACTGTAGCGAGAGCGGTGCCCACGGCGGGCGCTGCACCCGGCGCGAGGGTCTCGAGGTGGGTGAATTTCCAGTGGGGGCTGTGCGAGCTGCCCCGCCAGGCGCGCTGCCTCATCCTCGCTGGCCCGGGCTCGGCAAGGACTGTGTGTGCGCGTGCCCCGAGGGAGACAGGTAGCTTGTTGTTGTTGTTGTTATTATTATTATTTTCTTGAGTTTCATTTGGTGTTAATGTGTGGCCAAGTCAAGTCGGCGAAGTGGACGTGTGGGTTCAACGCCCCCCGCCATCCGACAGAGCCACCCCTAGGTTAGCCGGCTCACCGGCAGGGTCGCGGGTCTCTGAGGACCGAAACAATCGAAGTGTCCTCAGCCTCCGCGTCGCCCGGGCGGCAGGGGCGCGAGGGCGAGTATCGCGGGGGGTCGATCGCTTGGGCGGCTGAGGCCGCTTGGCTGGGCTGGGTTTTGTTTTCTGCGCCCTACTGGCCGGCACTGTGCTGGGAGGGCGATGTGGGGCTCCAGGCAGTGTCCAGCGGGCTGCTTGGAGATTGCAGGCACCCCGCAAAGACAGAGCAGAGGCAAGGAGGAGCCGAGCCATGGAGTAACTCTCCAAGCCCTGCAAAGCCGGCCCGAGGCAAGCAGTGCGACTTTGCCAAGGTGCTTCGAGCTCCAGCCCAGGGTTGATGGCGCTGAGCAGGAATGGGATACTAGCCTGGGGGCCGAGGGGGACCGAGCAAAAGTCACCTGGGCCGTCCCTCCAGGCCTCGGAGCCCTGGGGGGTCACTGTACGGGTCATGGACACCCCCTTCTTCCCCAGAGCCATTGCGGCCTGAGCTAGCTCGGCCCCGGGGCTGGAGGAAAGGAAAATCCAACAGCTACCCCCGGCGGGACGGGAGCGCGCAGGGAAATGTGTGCGCAGCGGGGCTGAAGGGCCCCCGGGAGATCGCGCACACGAGCCACCTCTGCCACCCAGCCCCGCGACGCTGCCACTCGGGCCAGGGAACCGGGAGGGGGCTGCGCGCCGGCTCCGGGCACTGGGATGCGGCAAAACATTGCGGTACGCGCCCGCGCCAGCGGCCCCTCTAACCGCGGCGCTGCCGACCCGAGGTGGCGCACACAGGGGGCGGCCGCGGTTGGGTCTCTCAGCGGACCCCGCGCACCCCCTCCATCCTGGCTTTCCTGAGGGCCACAGCGGGCTGATTTGTTTATTTATTTATGGTTAACATTTCCAATCAGCTCCCGGGGAGCTCCCTCGACCTAAGCACCCTACTGTCCACGGCTTCCACTCTGCCGGCTCGCCCCCCGCGCCTGGCCACGGAGCGCCAGGAGCGCCCCTGGATTTCTGGTAGGATGAGATTTGTGCAGGGCTGGCGGGCGGGCCCTGCGAGCTAGGGGTCTTTGCTGAGCACAGAGAGGAAAAAGGCAGCTAAGGAAGTGGATGCGCTCTCTGTAGCCTGAGAGATAGCTGTTGGTACCCAACTTGTACTTTGTATGGATTTTTTTTTACTCGTTTTCTGGTTTGGTTTTTCTCGTGATTTTTATTTTTTGTTGTTTTTAGTTGTGCCACGTGAATAGGAGGTTTCTTGCGATGACAGCGTCCGTGTGCTCTCTTTCTAGCTGCTTTTTCTAAAGGTGTTTTTTTTTTGTTCTTCTTCGTCTTCTCGTCCATTCTCTACCTCTCCCTGACTCCCTGGGCTTGATGGCTCTTCCTCTTCCTCGTTCGTTCCTCCAGCTGCTTTTGGCTTCCTCTGTTTCACAAGAGCTCCATTTGGGAACTTCCCAGCTTGTCCTTTCGCACCCCCTCCCCCCCCCCAAAAATAGTTAAAGTAGAAATTCCTAGGAGGACAGTGCATTCTGCGTTGTTTTCAGACTCGTTGGGGCTTCGGATTCTTGTTGTTGTGCTAAATTCAGGTTATTTGAATTTATTTCCTTTCACTTTGTGTGTTTGTTGGATTGCTTTGGGGTTTCTTTGTTTTGGGGTGGGGGTGGGGGTGGTTAGGAAAAAGAAATGACTCAACTGAACTAAAATAGCTGTTAAAACCCACATCAACACGAGGCACATACAAAAAAAAAGACCAAGTGAAATTCGGATTTTACAATTAAAGTTGGCTTGGATGATGTCATACTTAAGAATTATGACTTCTTTTTGCAATACCAATCATGAACAGGAGGAATATACTCTACATGACAGCCAAATAGAATGCCAGCAATGCTGACTGTATTCTAAATCAAAGTACTTAAAATGCTAATCTTTCTAGGTCGTGGCTAATGGATTGTCCACCTTGAAGCACGTTGGACTTTATCAATAGCTGATTCCTCCTGAGCAAAATAAAGACATATCGATGTGGCACCTCTTTTTTTTTGCATTACTTCCTCATTGTTCCTAGGTATGTTGTTTATTTAATTAATATTTGGTGTTAACCAGTTTCCTTCCTATTCACTATGGGGAGAAAATATTTACATGACTAAAATTGCATCAGTAAAATGCATGGCTTGTTTCCTTTTGATGTTTCTACGAAGCACCAAGCAATGTGTGTGTGTGAGAGAGAGGTGGGGGGGAGTGTATTTGTGTAACTGCACTCTAATGGGTTAATTTGCTTAACATTAAACTCTTTCAAGAAGTAACTATTCATTTGTTTACAGAAAGGGATATGAGATGGTCATTTTAGGACGATGTTTGATAAATGGTGATTTTAAGATGAAAATGTCTTGCTCTGAATATATCTGCTTCTTCAGATGAAGCTTGTCAAAGATTGTAGTGTGTGAATGTCTCTCCCTCGGCAGTGCCAGTCTGTGGTCAAAGGGAAGGAGATGAACATTTCAGCCAAGTGTCCATGAGACCTGGGTTCAAAGTGGCAAATTAGGGAGCACAAAAGGCTATGCAGAGAGAAGAGCCAGTTGTGTTGAGAAAAGCTGCTTGGAAATTAGCTAAGCAGTGCAGGGACAAACAGGTCCCTCTGCTATCTTCAGAACCTCAAATCTCAAATCCAAAAAGATTTTCTTCATCCACTATGTGAGAGCTGACAGGATACTAGATGCTATGTATTTGCTTGCAAAGGGAATATGGCCACCCCCTACTCATTTGTTATTCTGTAACCCCATCGGCTATGTTATCTTTGCTTTTAAAGGTAGCAATGCACAGGTGAACTGATTCACAGCAATGTACTTAACTAGGGGCCAAGGCTGAGGCAAATCTTTTCGCAGGGCACCTTGCACATTGCTCTTTAAACTGGCTCTTCTCTAGCAGTGAGACCTCCATTGCCAGGCCCCGTGGAAACCAGAGTCCTAATAAGGTCTCCACCCAGCATATTAATCTAGCTGCAACCTAGAGAATAGATATCCACTAATTGCCATGGCTTTCTGGTTCAAAGGACATGTCACACTTGATATTGTGGGTGCCTTCATTTCAGTTGCAAATAGAAAGCTTAAGGTTTGTGTTCAAGGGCAATTTGGTAGTGCCAAGTTAAATGTGAATTCAGATTACTATGGTGTATGTATAACAAACAACCTTTCTTCTATTGTTGGTTATGTATTATGCATATCTAAATTTTGTATAAACTGCTGCACATGTATGGGAACAGAAGGTGTATCATTTTGGTAGTTATTATTGTTCAACTGAGTGCAAATCCTTGGAGTTTTGTGTGCTTTAAAAATACAATGCTAGTAGCTGGGTTCCTGTGGCTCATGCCTGTATTAGCTATTCAGGAGGCTGAAATCTGAGGATGACATTTCAAAGCCAACTCCGGGCAGAAAGTCTGTGAGACTCTCTTCTCCAATTAACCAGCAAAAAGCCAGATGTGGAGCTGTGGCTCAAGTGGTAGAGGGCTGGCCTTTAATAATAAAAAAAGGTCAGGGACAGCACCCAGACTGTGATTTCAAGCCCCTGGACCCGCATGCATGCATCTGTGTGTGTGTGTGTATGTGTGTGTGTGTGTGTGTGCACGCGCACGTGTGCGCAAACAGAAACACACACACACATAATACAATGCTAGCAATTATAGCCATCTGCTCACCATGGTATGATTTAAAACACAATTTTTTAAAAGTAATGACCATTGAAAAAATGTTTTCTTTTTATTTTTTAGATTATTTCTCTTTATTCAGAAGCATAAAGTTGTTTGCTGATTGCAAGAAGATGTTTCTTTGGCTCTTTCTGATTTTGTCAGCCCTGCTTTCATCGACAACTGCAGATTCTGATATATCGGTGGAAATTTGCAATGTGTGTTCCTGCGTATCAGTTGAGAATGTTCTCTATGTGAACTGTGAGAAGGTTTCAGTCTACAGACCCAATCAACTGAAACCCCCATGGTCTAATTTCTATCACCTCAATTTCCAGAACAATTTTTTAAATATCCTTTATCCAAATACATTCTTGAATTTTTCACATGCAGTATCCCTGCATCTGGGAAATAATAAACTGCAGAACATTGAGGGAGGAGCCTTTCTCGGGCTCAGTGCATTAAAGCAGTTACACTTGAACAACAATGAATTAAAGATTCTCCGAGCTGACACTTTCCTTGGCATAGAGAACTTGGAGTATCTCCAGGCTGACTACAATTTAATCAAGTATATTGAACGAGGAGCCTTCAATAAGCTCCACAAACTGAAAGTTCTCATTCTTAATGACAATCTGATTTCGTTCCTTCCTGATAATATTTTCCGATTCGCATCTTTGACCCACCTGGATATACGAGGGAACAGAATCCAGAAGCTCCCTTATATTGGAGTTCTGGAACACATTGGCAGGGTTGTTGAGTTGCAACTGGAAGATAACCCTTGGAACTGCAGCTGTGATTTGTTGCCCTTAAAGGCTTGGCTGGAGAATATGCCATATAACATTTACATAGGAGAAGCTATCTGTGAAACTCCCAGTGACTTATATGGAAGGCTTTTAAAAGAAACCAACAAACAAGAATTATGTCCTATGGGCACAGGCAGTGATTTTGATGTGCGCATTCTGCCTCCATCTCAGCTGGAAAATGGCTACACCACTCCCAATGGTCACACTACTCAAACATCCTTGCACAGACTTGTGACCAAACCACCGAAAACAACCAATCCTTCCAAGATCTCTGGAATCGTGGCAGGCAAAGCCCTCTCTAATCGTAATCTCAGTCAGATTGTGTCCTATCAAACAAGAGTGCCTCCTCTTACACCATGCCCAGCACCTTGCTTTTGCAAAACACATCCTTCAGATTTGGGGCTGAGTGTGAACTGCCAAGAGAAAAATATACAGTCCATGTCTGAGCTGACACCAAAACCTTTAAATGCCAAGAAGTTGCATGTCAATGGCAATAGCATCAAAGATGTGGACATTTCAGACTTCTCAGAATTTGAAGGGCTGGATTTGCTCCATTTAGGCAGCAATCAGATTACGGTGATCAAAGGAGATGTATTCCACAATCTTACTAATTTACGCAGGCTGTATCTCAATGGTAATCAAATCGAAAGGCTGTATCCTGAGATATTTTCAGGCCTTTATAACCTGCAGTATCTGTATTTGGAATACAATTTGATTAAGGAAATCTTAGCAGGCACCTTTGACTCCATGCCCAATTTGCAGTTACTGTATTTAAACAATAATCTCTTGAAGAGCCTGCCTGTTTACATTTTTTCTGGAGCACCTCTTGCTAGACTGAACCTGAGAAACAACAAATTCATGTACCTGCCTGTCAGTGGAGTTCTTGATCAGCTGCAGTCTCTTACACAGATTGACTTGGAGGGCAACCCATGGGACTGTACTTGTGACTTGGTAGCATTAAAGCTGTGGCTGGAAAAGTTAAATGACGGGATTGTTGTGAAGGAACTGAAATGTGAGACACCTGTTCAGTTTGCCAGCATCGAACTGAAGTCCCTCAAAAATGAAATCTTATGTCCTAAACTTCTAAATAAGCCATCTGCACCATTCACAAGCCCTGCACCTGCTATTACATTCACCACCCCATTGGGTCCCATTCGAAGTCCTCCTGGGGGGCCAGTGCCTCTGTCTATTTTAATCTTGAGTATACTAGTGGTTCTCATTTTAACTGTGTTTGTCGCTTTTTGCCTTCTTGTTTTTGTGCTACGACGCAACAAGAAACCCACAGTGAAGCACGAAGGTCTGGGGAATTCTGAATGTGGCTCTATGCAACTGCAGCTAAGGAAGCACGACCACAAAACCAATAAAAAAGATGGACTGAGCACAGAAGCCTTCATCCCACAAACCATAGAACAGATGAGCAAGAGCCACACCTGTGGGTTGAAAGAGTCTGAAACTGGGTTCATGTTTTCAGATCCTCCAGGACAGAAAGTCATGATGAGAAATGCTGCTGACAAGGAGAAGGATTTATTACACGTGGATACCAGGAAGAGACTGAGCACAATTGATGAACTGGATGAATTATTCCCGAGCAGGGATTCCAACGTGTTTATTCAGAATTTTCTTGAAAGCAAGAAGGAGTATAATAGCATAGGTGTCAGTGGCTTCGAGATCCGCTATCCAGAAAAACAACAAGATAAAAAAACCAAGAAGTCCCTGATAGGCGGAAACCACAGTAAAATTGTTGTGGAGCAGAGGAAGAGTGAGTATTTCGAACTGAAGGCAAAACTTCAGAGTTCCCCTGACTACCTACAGGTCCTCGAGGAGCAAACGGCGTTGAACAAGATCTAGGTCATGCATTCTAACTTCATACAGAGGACATTTATTTAATGATGAAAGTGCCTTTTGTTGACTTCTAACTCCCAAATACTATATTATCAATAGGCATAGAGGCAGGTGTTTCCAAGGTTGTCTCATTAACTGTAGCTGCAAAGATGTATCAAGTAGAAGAGAATTTCCTTAATAGATTTTACTACAGAAAACCTATACTGTGGAGTCCTGTGGGGATACTGCAAATTCTATTGCCAAAGGGATGCTTTATACACGTAATACACTGAATTTAACCTCGAGAGGCAAATTCGTTTTGTACCCCAATACAAAACCTTCGTCTCTTTGTGCTTTGTGAAGCAAGCTCAAGAAAACTGGTACCAGTGTTTGTACTTCAACTGGGTCCTTCATCTTGCACGTAGATTAAGTTGGTGGAACTGGAATAATCCTTTTGATTTGTGGCATTGTAACAACTCTGTGTAAAGATTATCTGAAAAGTGTAAAAAAAAAAAAAAGCATGCAAAGAGAGAACATTCGATAGTATTTGTAAATCGGTAACCTTTATGGCCTGCATCTTGAAACCGCTGGATTTATAACGTTAAATTGTGCAGATACTTGTTTAAAATATACCATGCATTAAGTATAAAATAAATTTGAACACTTTAAGCATTACCTGTCTATACATAAAATCCTAAAAGAGAAAAAAAACCCCACGTGAGTAACATAGCATTTGTGGTGATCTGAAGAAATGCGTGATGTTTATCAAAATTAAAAAATGGCTCAAATTAATCTAACCCTAGAGTTTGTTCTCAGTTATGTGAAAACCCCACAATCCTTAAAGGTTGTCCAAAATTAGCAAAGTGCTTACCGTGTGAGCGCAGTCAAAGCTATTTTTGTAACATAATTCATATTTATGAAGTACTTTGTATACTAAATAGGAAAATATGTACTCCTTAAAAATGTATTTACTATGCTTGACTTATTTTCCTGATCACAGCAAATTTATCAGTAAGTGTAAAATTTAGATAGAAAAAAATACTTAACTGAAATGAAAGCAAATGGTGTACAGAAATATTTTGGACTTTGTGATCAGGTATAATTTAAAATTAGAAAAAAAAAGTTTAAAAAAATCAAAAAAGAAACAAAAATACAAAGAATATAAAAATAAAAATCAGTTTTGTGCTATTCTTGTGAATTTAACATATTATATTCAGATTTGTTAACAAGTGTGCATTTTAAAATAGGCTCCTTAGTTTCATAGTATTGTGTCTAGAGCACTGGTCATTTGCCATCAGTTGTCTTGCTTTTCAGGATTCTATGAGATTAATTCAAGTAGTTTTCACTATGAGTATTTAAAACAACTAATGACTAAGCTTAATAGTATCTTGTATGCATCTGTATCCTGGTCTTTCATCATTATGACTACTATCAGATAATCTAGTAGAACTACAAACATCATAGTAGTCTCGGCTATCAAAGCCACACTGTAACATTTGCATTGGACGCAGATGAGCTCACAGTCTGCAACTACAGTGATATGTCCCTGTGTTTGCTCATGCTGTTAAATTGTAAGTAAAAACTGGTCAAAGGAATTAAGTATTTGAGAACAGGTTAATATGTGAAGAATTTTAAGAGCTCCCAATTGCAAAGTGATATTCAGAAATATATTACCTTCTTGGTAAGCTGATGTGTATATGTGTGTGTGTGTGTATATATATATATGTATACATACATACATATACATATATGTACGTATGTGTATATGTACATATATGAACATTCATATGTATTTATTCATTAATTACAATATCAGTCAGTAGTTAACCAAGAAGGCAAAACATAGGCATTCTTCATGAATTTCAAGTGGAATATATTTTGGTTCAGTTTCTGAGATGACATTATAATTAGAAGTTAACAAGTGATTCCTTTAGTAAGCACTATTTTCAGGGCTTTATGTGTCTGTTCCAAGATTATAAGTAAAACTTGGCATTCTTGGAGGTGTTTGTGTGTGTGTGTGTGTGTGTGTGTGTGTGTGTGTGTGTGTATGGATATATATTCATACATATAGATAATTTGGAGAATTTTTTAAATAGCAAAAATATCTCCATATGTATGTGCTGGTGCTCTTAAAGTTTTAATGTGTAATTTTAATTTTCATGACGATGTCTGTGAAAATTTTATATGAATATAAAAACATCTAAACAAATAATTGCTTTATGATCTTGAAAGGAAAGACAAGATGTGTGCTCAACAGCTTGTATTCATCTACAATTTCATAAGGACTTTTAATAGGCCATTACCATGCGTGCATGCATCCATGGAATAAAGGGCTCCTAATGCGTACTGACAGGATAACAATGCAATGGCTGCAAAGAAAGTGATTTCGTTCACCCTGTCAATAATGTATGGATGGAGAAATCTTAAATAGACACTTGTGGGAAGAAGTAGAACTCTCCATCCATGATCTGGGAATAATGAGTCATTGGGATGATGCCTTTTTATTCAGTGTGGTGATGTTTTAAGATGTTTCCAGATTTCTGCAGAATTATCAATGGCAAGAGTACCTGCCTCCATCTCACAGCTTGCTGTAGTATATTGGCTATCTCATATTCTTCTGCTGAAAGGTATAAATGTTAAAAACAAAATAAGGATAAAGTAATTTAATTGTACATGGTTATTTGAAGGTTCTAGTTGTAAATGAACATAACAACTCCTTGGTTAAGGCTAATATAGTTTCCTTAACTAAAGTCATTGTGCCTACATTATACAGTGTATACTATTTTTCACCTGTCTCTCATTAGTTCTACTTGTATATTTTATGATAACGTAGCTAGGCATTAGTTCTGAGTTGAGTGCAAGAGCAGTTAAAATACCGTATGTATATTTTGTTGAATTCAACTATAACCTTGATGTTAGTTTAACCCCTTAAGGTATAATAATGTGCATCAGTACAGAATTTTTAGTAGAACTTTTATTCAAATATAAAACAATCCAAGAAGTGCTAGTTTCTAATGGGTGAGACACATCCTGGGTGTGTTGGCACTATAGTCGTGTATGGACTGTGTTAGAACAGCTACAAAGAAAAGTAGATCTCATGAAACCAGTGAAGGGGTTGAGATAATATATTGTGTTTGTGTAATATAAATCAAGTTTTAAATTATTTTTTTATGAAATCAATAAATATGATTCAATTCTTCAAGAGTAAATCTTTGTGTAATTTTCTGAGAAAGCAGCTATTAAAGTAGTGATTCAAGTCTATAAGGCAATTTATATTCTATATTTACTTTTTCATTCTGAGTAATAAACCAAATAAATATATTAGAACATCATTTAAGATCATCCTTCTTTTGTTCTTTTTAACATTTAATTTTTTTAAGCCATAAGGATGCGTAAATTATACAGGGTCTGGTCCCATGAATAATGTCAAAAGATATTTCAGAGTTAACAGAATGCATTTAGAAATGTATGGTGATAAAATTAATCTATAATAATTTTGCATGGCTTTTACATTGATATTGTGTGAAATGAGCACAGTGAGGTTTTTTTATTTTGTTTTGTTTTGTTTTCATTTTGGTATTGTTATTGATGTCACATCCAAAGACTTGGGGAGGAAATATATTAAGAATGTATTTATAATTGCTATTTTGAAATAAAGAAAACACATTGTATTGTTTTTAACCCTGATTTGATTTATGAATATTTTACATTCGTTTATAAAACAAAAGTAAAAACACTATAAAATCTAATGTAACACACAAAGGAACTATTTTAATGAATTTTATTTGCTTTTAATTACATCAAGATCTTAGAGAGAATTTATTAAATGCCATTTTTGTGAAAGCATTAATAAAAGTGTTTGCTACAATGGTATTTCTGGAGCCACAGTTTATTAAATATATTTGTCTTTCTATTATTTTTCAGAGGAAACAAAGCAGTAGCCAAACTGATCATTATCACTCAAAGTTGAGGGTAAGACATATAGCTCAAAGATAATGTTTGTACCAGTTAATTGTTAAATCTCTGTTAAAAGATGCCTCCTTCACAGACATATCTGCAATCTGTGTTCCTTCCCACTAACCCTTTGGAGAAGGGTGAGGCAGTGCCAAGATCAGCACTTGCTCATTCTTACTAATCACTTGGAATCTGACATAACTTCAGATAAGCAAGTATTAATATTTAGCCTTAAAAATACTCAAACCTTAGAAAATCTTCAGACCTCTAGTTTTGTAACGAAATAAACTTTACTGATTATAGCCTAGTTGGGCTATAATCGTGGGCAAATTGTGATTTTTAATTTAATTCCATTAAAGGTAGACAAAATGATCCATCTATCACTTAATACAGTTACGATGGTGGAAGAAAATGAACCCATTGCATTATGACCAATAGCAGGGCAGAAAAGAATAAGAGCAGCTTGCTTTGACCAATAGGCTATGTTTAGAGCATGTGCATGTAAAGGAAGACAAGATAGAAAGGAGCATAGACAGAAAATGTAAGTTAACATTGGTGTAGCCTTATTTCTATACATAGCTATGCCAAAAGTATGACTACTATAGCAGCACTTTTGGACTAGATGCCTCATGTGTCCACATGTGACACATCATGGAATTGGGTTTTAGTTCTTTGTGAGTATTGAGCACAGGACCTTGTGTATCAGCCATTTTGTTTTGTAGACAAATAGCCTCAAATCAAAGGTTGACATCATTTCCAGTCCTCATTATGTTATCCACTACAATCAGCTGGGATGAACCAGAATATTCTGTTTGTGGTGTTACTCACTGGGAATGACAAGTGATATACATCATGTTCATCTGATTTTTTTTGCCCCTTCAGACTTTGTGAAGATTTCTTTTCTTTTATTAAAAGCAGATGATAAGCCAAAAATGAATGTTTATAGGTTATCTTAATTTTAAAAACTGCCTTAAACATAAAATTTTATTTATTTCATTTCTATTTCTATTCCATTGGTTTATAAGATATGATTTTAGGAGCAAAAATTAAGGAAGAAAAATTGCCTTCTATTGTCTGTGAACTAATATGATTTTTGTTTTAAAAATATTTTAACTTGTTTTTCCCGTGTCTATAGAGGTATTGTAAAGGAAGACTCTGAAACCCTTGAATACTTTGGGCCAAAAAAATCGCTATTGAGATTAAAACACGCCAATTCCTTACTGTATGATAATCATGAGACTTCCTCCCTTATCTGTAGAACCCAGAACCAAAACAGAATTTTTCAATTTTCTGCTTTAGTTTCCTTTGATAGATAGCACATAACTGGAAATAGAAATTCTGGTGATTCCTATAATACAATAAGAATGAGAAAATTACATGTATGTCTTTAAAAGCCAATGAAAAAGACTTTATAGAGAGATAATGTGAATACATACTGAATAAACACACTATTACTTTTAAGTTAGGAGTAGGGAGGAGTTAGACCTTTGAAGTTCATGTGCAATATATTTCTCTTAGTTGCCAATTCACAATTACTAAATCAAGTCAGATACTGCTGATTAATAGCCTAAGAAAGCCATGTTGTATGGTGGATATTGCTCATGAAATATTTGAAAATCACAGTAAGCTCTGTTCTCCTTACTAAGAGTGCAATGTATATTTCCATCATTGTTTCATGTAAATTGAATCATTGTGCTACAGTTCTGGAGTTGGTATGCAGTGACTTTAATGCTGTTTTCATGAATAAAAGTCTTTTCTTATAGGTCACATTTGTAGCCACTCAGTGTGTTTATTAGTGTGATATTAGTGAAACTCAAATTCAAAAGGAAATGTCAATAATCTGATAAGTAATTGATAGCCTATTAATTTATTTGGACAGACAGTTGTACTTATACATGTACACAGACACAAGCAGAAAGTGTAACATATGTAAAGAGTTAATGCACAAAGGCAAATGTCTAGTTGATGTTAACAACTAAAATCCTACTGTCTGGACAAAGTAGATATTTCAAATCAATATTGTTGTTTGGCCATAACTAATAGTTGTCTTTCTTTTACTTTCATTTTAAGTTGAAGCCAGATTAATGTGTCACATACAGTAAGAATTAGTCCCAGTTTATTTCTTATGATTCCTTTTGGTTTCAGTAATGCCTGCTGTCATGAGATTTGATTTTATTTCTCCTCATTTATTAACTTTATCATATTCCTCTTCAATCTGTAAGCTTACTAAATGAATGATGTTGTGTGCTATTCCTAGGCAGCCAGCCATGGTGCAAATTAAAGCTCTTATTACCTTTCACAAACATTCACAGGCTCATGTAAGGACATCTATATCCAAAGTAAGGAAGCTCAATGTGAAGATTATGATTAGAAATTATTAGAACAGGCAAGTTAAAAAAAGATCATTTGGTTGAAAATTATGACTAGAGAGAATGTGTTTTTATTAAGGACAGGGTGCATAAGAGCAAAGATATATTCATAGGATAAAAACATAGTTTATCTAGCAGAGAGAATATGGAACACAATTGTCATCATAAAATGTGTGAAATCTTAGAGTTCTTTCTCATTATACTTAAACCTATTTCTTTTAGATGAATTTGAAATCTAGGCTTTGCAAAACAACATCACTAATTCAATTTTCTTTTAAAGAAAACCAGTCTAGTAACACATCTATTTACCTTTAAAGTCCTTATTGTTTCTCTAA